TCCTTCCATGGAGGAATCCACATAGAGGAACCCTCCGATTCGTCTACTTGACGCCCTCCTCATTCGACCCTCGCCTTCGAAAACGAGGCGACAGGGTTTCGTTGCCCGAGGGTGGGCTCGAAGAAGCATGCAACCGAAGAGGAAGGACCGCCATAAAGGAGAAACGCAAAGTTTCAAGAGCTTCAGCGTCTTCAAAGTTTCTCAAAGTTGAGCAAAAAACTTGGTCATCGTTTTCGTCGCAACACCAAGAATCAGTTCATTACTTGTGTTGCTCATATTTAGGTCATTCGTCTTATCACCTTATCGTTCCTCTTTTTGCGATCATTTTTATCAATTTCGAGAACCGAAGAATAATAAATTTTACTATTGCGAAAAAGTTGAATATTTTTGATTTATTGAAGATAAATTTATTAGAAAACTTTTTTTTAAATAAAAAAGCGAGATTGAATGTCGAAGAATTCAAAATGAATATCATAAATACGATTCATTTTCTATTTTTAATTTTATATAATCTAATTTGTATCTATTATATTTCAAAGATTGTTTTATTTTCAATCGATGTGCGATATATATTTGCAAATTTAATTTTTTTAGAACTATTGTTCTAAAAGTTGTTTAATTATTAAAAAGACAAAATTATTATCTTAATAAGTTTATAAGTTTGTATATTTTGGTATATTGAAATTTTTTTTTAATATAAACATAATATTATAGTACAATTTAATGTAAACATAAATATTATAGTACAATAATAGATATAAGTATAAAAATTATAAAAATAATAATTTCATGTTCTAATAAATTTTCATTTATATGTTATAATATAAAACTTCCGTGACATGAAAATTAATTATTAGCTATACTCATTTATATTTATTAATAATTAAGAATTTATTAAAAAAGTAAATATTCTTTTTTGATTATTTATTCTTTCTTTTTCTTATTACTTGAACTAATTTATTAAAATTATTATCTCAACAAATTAAAATTATAATAAAATAAAGTATACAACACGATGATTAAAATTCAACATAAAATATTTTTAAGACAAAAGATTTGCTTTTCCTTCAATATACGTTAAATTAAAATTCATAAATTAATGATTGATCGAGAACAATCGATAAACCCACAAATTTTAACAAATCTTACTGTAAAACGACTTTTTTTAATTATTTCAAATCCGAAAATACTCTTTCATCTACAAGAATTTGATCTACCTGTTATATCTGTTTAAATTAAGATTGATAATGATAAATTTCAAATAAAAGAAAAAAGAAAAATAAAAAATGCTTAATATTCAAAAAGAAAGGTAATATTCATAAAGAGGGGAAAATATTTCGATATATTGAATTGAAATGAAAAATCTGAAACACTACCACCATCACCACCACCTAATTTGATATTTAATGAAACACGATATTAAAACATCGGACATGGATTAAACGGCGCAATGAGTTAACGGAGAAATAAAGGGTGAAAAACTTATTCCGAAGTGGACAAAGAAGCAAAGAATCGGATGGTAGGGGACAAAGAAAAAGAGGACAAAAAGTAAGGGCGGAAGATTCATGGACGACGCATAGATTCCAAGAGAGAGAGAGAGAAGGATTCGTTCATGGAATTACAAATCATCGAAAAGCTGTGCGGGACGAGTTTTCCACAAAGCCAAGTAGAAATTCGCTGAAAAAAAGACCATATTCTATTCGTTATAAGCTCACGGCGAAAGCAACTCGTAGGCAAACGATGCA